TACGATGGCTCGGCCATGTGCTACGCATGCCGAAACACCGTCTACCGAGACGAGTGTTGTTCTCCGTGCCTCCTTCAGGATGGCGCAAGCCGCGAGGTGGACAGCACACGACTTGGCAGAAAGGCGTGAAAGAGATCACGAAGAGTTTGGGTATTGTTGGTGTTGTGTGCCTTCGAGGATGGGGTCCCCGTGACCACGTCTGTGCTTGGCTGGAGACGTTGCAAGAAATGGCGGCTAATCGATGTCAGTGGCGTTCTTGCTGTCAGTTTCTTTCCAAATTGTCTGAAGGAGCGATGGAAGGTGTAGGCACCTCATTATGCTTGACATAGGCCAGCACTAGATCCCCTCCCTCACCCACTCTTTTTCTCTTCGCTTCACTGTAGGGCTTTTAATACAATATACAATACAATATATATAGACGAACCTTGTGGTTGTACGGCAGTGAAGCATCAGTGCCAACACTGATGCTGCTGTCTTTGATGACATATATATATTAGAGCAGTAAGTTGTGGAACTTTTTTGAATGAGAATAGAACGTGTCACCGAAAGTGACTACTGTGGATGGAGTACTCGTCAATTGTCCTAAGTGAAGGAAGAGCTATTATGATACATGAGTGCTTTAGTCAAAGGCTTTAATTTGTAAGGCAACAGAGGTGTACGAGAACCGCAACCAGGGGCTCTGGGGGACGATGAGCGAAGTTCTATTTCGTTCGTGTCTTGAATAGCATTATCTGTCCGGAGTACACTGTTCATCCCTGACCGTATGCTGAGAAGTAAGTGTGTAGAGCGACCCCCGTAGATAGGATCTCCTTTGGAATCACGATTTGGTAACTCCTCTGGACACAACCACTAAGGTGAAAACCCCTATTGTTTCTACTCTTACTCTACCGTAGTGGAAAGACCGTGAGCAGAACTTCCCTCGAGAAAGCTCTTAAGTGCAGATCATTTGGATGTGTCTTGAAGAAATGCAAGGAACAACCATTAATCACTTTTAGAGACATGCACTGTCGAGCTTACAGAGTGAGACTACCAGAATACGAGTGCTTAGTGAAGCAGCGGGAACTGCCTTTGAGGACTAAATCCAGGAATGCAATCTAAAATGTCTCGGTCACATGCTGCCTATACCAATTTACTGTCTACTGAGTAGGGCGTTTCCTGCATGTCTAATTAGAAATGACGAAACCCTAGGATTGGGCACAATGACCGGGTGGAAGTGAATGGAGCACGTCACCAAAATTGTCTGCTCTACGGGATGGGCCTCTCACTGCCTGATTAGACACTGGATGATATAGTGGCTAAACGATGTCGGGATTTCATGCTGGCACTTTCCATCTGAGGGTCCTACCGGAGGTTTTTAGGTGTAGGCACCCCGGTGTTTGTGTTTGGCTAGCGCTAGGCCCCTCTCCTTGCCCCATCTTACTTTCACCTTGCGGATTTATTTGAATGAATTGAACGGCAGTGAAGTGTTCTTTACTCGTCTAAGTCGCAGTGTTCCTTATAATGATACATGCGAATTGTGACATACGAGAGAAGTTGTGCTTGTCAGTTTGCAGCAGGTGATGTTCTTTACATGTTGATTATCAACACAGTCAACCGGACAGCTCAAACAGAACATCAAGCTGACCCTAACACCATATTGAAGGTCGCCAAGTACTTGATGGAAACACAGATTTCGCGAAAAGTTGAACATCTTAGTCTTGATCAATACCCAGTATGGAAGAATCGTATTTCAAACAGAAACATGTAAACTGGAAATTCAGCTGGATTCACTTAAGCCCGCTATCAAAATCACATTCGTGTACACATGTGTTGAAATTAGACTAGTTTGAAGTTCAAACAGAAGTAACGCGTTACTACAGTCTTACTTCAGTTAGTCAGTCAAGTTGGAGATTCCGTGACCAGGTATCTGTTTAACTTACCGCGTTATGCATCGATGCGTACTCGATTTTCTATATCATTAGTCGCCAGAATAGATGGGTGTACCAGAAATGCGAACGTCAGGGCATTTGAGTTTTTCGTTTCTCTTCTTTCAGCTGTTTAAGATATTTTGCCATCTCGGTAAGTCCACCTCGCTCCTTTCGTCGGTTCCTACTGAGTGGTACGACGAGGACCAGTGTCTCTGTTGAGTTGGTCGTTTTTGTTAGGTTGAGCGCTGTCCGGGTGAGTCCACATGACCCTCCTTATGCGTGATTGGGAAGCCTTCACGATGTGACACGTAACCGATTCCATCACCACCAAAACGGGTTGCCTTACTAATGCTTGTCTGCTGTTGTGCACTGGGTCGAACTGGGGGTCACAAGCGATTCTGGGCCAATCGCACTGATCGTGTCTCCTGGCCTAACATGATGTCCGGGTGCGTATATTTGTTTTTGGAGGATGTGAGTGTCCCGCAGAAAAATGATTGCTCACCCCAATCCTTTTTCAATTAAGGGCCAGTTTCCACTACCGGTATATCCTTGTCCATGTTGTTGATGATGACCGAGTTTACCAAAACCAGAATCGGGTCGGAAGTTGCGAGTGCATTAATCGGTTTGTTGTATGGCTGTGAAACCTGGCCTATTCGAGCGGCGGAACTGAGACGTCTTCAGGTGTTCGACAATCGTTGTCTCAGAACCGTAACTCGTGTGGGTTGGTGTCGGCCAATCCGTAACGAGGCAGTTAGAAAGCGCGTTTTCGGTTGTGCGACGGGTACTTCCATTGAAGGATGTGTCCAGCACCAGAAGCTGCGTTGGTTGGGACGTGTTACGTATGCCGAACCATCGTTTTCCGAAGCAAGTGCTGTTTTCCATACCCAACTCAGAGAGGTGGCCAACGCTTGAATTGGCAGAGGATTATGAAGGAGATCACGGGAAGCTTGGGTTCTGTCGGTGCTACTCGCCTTCCAGGATGGGGACCACGCGATCCTCACTGCGCGTGGTTGGAGACACTACAAGATATGACTGCCAACCGATGTGAGTGGCGTTCTTGTTGTCAGTTTCTATCCAGATCGCCTGAGTAAGTGTCTGGAGGTATAGGTACCTTGGAATGATTCTGGTGTGTGTCGTTCAGCCGTAGCACCCTTTCGGTGCTTAGCTGCCATGTCACACGAAGGTTGCACGAGGGATGGGATACTGCCAGGTTGCCGAAGCCTAGACAGGGGAAGTCGAGAGTCCGACCTCTGACTCTCGACTTTCTCTGTCTAGAAATGATTCTGGTAAGCTAGCACCAAGTTCCTTCCCTGTCCACCTTCACTCTCTTCTTTACAATAAGGCTTCCAAGCCTAGACAGGGGAAGTCGAGATGGGGCAGAGGTCGGGTTCGAACCACGGACCTTCCGGTCAGTAAATTCGCGCTCTAACCACTTGGACCATCTCCCCCCACGGGAACCAAAGGGGTGGCCAGTACAACTGTGCGACTACAGTAAGCTTTCAGTGCGGGTTCAACTGAGTGTAACATCAGTTCGAAGTTACGGCCTTCGAGCACGTTAGCTATAGTGGTTGTCCAGTATTAGTTAACAGCTGTTGACCGAAGAGATACAGCGAACAATAGTCGCGGTGAATGAATCTGTGTACAGATCCCGTCTTAGGTTTAGTTTAGATCCCCAACATTCGCCCGTCGCTTGTCCTACTATCAAAGCTTATATTGGAGGTGGGGTCAGTGACCGGAACTTTGGTGATTCGAACCCATCACCGACTTCCCGAGTGCTCTAGTCTAGGCTTGGGCAAGCTGACAGTATCTCACCCCTCATGCTTTCTTCTGATAACTTGACAACATTTTTTCTGCATATACCATACTTATTCCATTCCAGTACAAAGCCACCGACATCGTTGTCAAAGAACCTGGAACGATTGAGTTAGTTTTTACGCCAAAGGACACAGCTAAACCGCCCGAACGACACACTGTGTTCCAATTTCCTGACGGAGGCGTCAGTATGGCGATGTATAATACGGACGAGGTAAGTTCGTGCTGGCCAAATCTTATATTTACTTCTAACTTGTAATGGTACGGCCGAATTGCTATCGATTAGAGCTCAGTTTTGAGTAGACCAGTGTTCCTCTTGTTGCCTCCATGATACGTCAATTTACGCTGTTCTTTATTGAGCTGCTTCCGATTGGCCAATCAGCAGTGATCCCACCATCCGGCTTTTACAAACAGTCAGAACCTGTGGGTGCATCCATTCCGAGCATATCTGATATGCATATCCTGTAGACATAATCACGGAAACGAAAAAAGATTTGCCAAAGACACGGCAATCAAACTTTGGCGTTCGACTTATCAGTTTCAGAAATTCTGGTAGGGAAGCACGATGGTCAGGGAGGACATTCCGTGTTTTGGAATACAACATTTCGAGCCCATTGCACAGGGGTCAATCATTTGGGTGTCTCTTAGGTGTCCGGAGCTCTTGTAGACAGTACATTATCAATATTTGGGTGGATAACTTGTCGATCTCACCATCTTTATACTACTATCAGGTCTTTTATTCGTAAGTTTACAAGAAAAAAACGCTGGGCTAATAGATTCTCTCGAGCCTCCAATTGCCCACTTCAGAGAAGATAATCTTCAAGGATGACTTTTGCGTTTGAAGATGGCTTTTACTAATAAAAATCGAAGCTTCACTGCGTTTCTTTAAGGGAGCATTTGGCCGAGGATTTTGAAGCAGCATCCTCCTAGTTACCTGTTGTCATTCAGTCGGATTCTTGAACTGCACTGGAATCCTGGGTGTTGAAGTTGGAACCCTATGATTACATATCTCAACCGCCAGCAACTCCTGCCTTCATTGTCGACCGCACTGTTTAAAAATGGCAGTGGAATGGTCGGCATTTTTCGGATCTTTTTACCCTTATTTGGGTAAAACTGGCCATCCCAGATAACGGTACCTGTTTTCAGCAAAGTGAATGTGGCAGCCGCAGGTCAATCAACTTCACTTCGGTTGTAACGAAACTTTTGGTATCACCTGTACTTCACCCTATGGTGGCCCGTGGAGCGTTGACTCGAGAGAATCAAACGGGATTTCTACTCGATAGAAGTCGCATTGACCACTTTCAGCGTCAAGTTCTAGGAAACGGGGAGTTCTCCAAAAGCTTCTTACAAGCAATGGTGTCTGACAAGAATGCCCAGTCTCCATTTTCGTATGTTTTCACCAATAGTGGGGTAATGAGGCGAACACCGGAGAATCTCCAAAACTCTGGTGCTCAGATCTGTCCGCACGAGAACCTTATCGATGCAAACGACGGTGTTCTCATTTTTGAATACGAGCAGAAAAGCTGACCAAGGGCATCCAATCCTTCAGCATGTCTTACGCCCGCAAAGTGGAAACCTTTAAACACGCATCTGAGAATGCGAGAAATGGTACTGGAAGTTGTGGAACGCTGTACTTACCTCAAAAGCCGCATTAGCTCTGATATTGGACGGAATAAACGCGCAAATCTCCAAGACCAGAATTGCGTTGACCTTTCTTCGCCATTTCGGAAACAAGAACGTATGTCGCTTGCGCTCAACGGACATATGTATCAGACCACACTATACTGTTGTATGGCTACGAGGATTGGCCGTTTATGGCGGGGGGCCTGAGACATCTTTAGGTGTTCGACCACTGACACTTCAGAACTACAGCTGAAGTCGGAAGGAACCAATCAATTCCGAATGAGGGGGATGATCAAGCGCTGGTTTTGTGCGAAGCAGGCAGTCCTTACTTTGAGGATGGGTCCAGCGTTGCAAACGAAGTTGGTTGGGCCATGTGTTTCGTATACCTAGTTACCGCCTGCCAAGATGAGAGCTGTTTTCCGTACCCAGTTTGGAAAACCTAGAGGTAGACAGAAATCGATACGGGAGAAGCGGATAAAGTATGTTACGAAAAGTTTGGGTGGCGTTGGTGATTTTCTCCCATCCAGGATAAGAGTTACTTGGCCCTCCCTGTGTTTGACTGGAGACACTGAACGATATGGCAGCCATCCAGATTGATTGATGGAGCGTTTGAGTGTAAGCACGTCGGGTACTATGACAGACCAGTCTTAGGTCCTCCTTTCTTCCTCGTTTTTCTCCTTTCGATTATAAGGAATTATTAAAATAAGTTGTCGATCATAAATGTGCAGAATACAGCTTCAAGAAGGATGAGAATGCACGGGTGTTCCTCGACGGACTGATTGGTCTTTCATCTGGTGTGCTCTCTGCATCGACGAAACAAGGTCGTGATCGTGGACATGCGGCCATTAAAAGCACCAGTTGTAGTCCAAGGCGATGCAGTCGAAGTTGTGGGGCGTCTTACATATCCTTGAAGCCGTTTGGCAATTCGAGGCTAGCTTCAGGTTTCTTTTCAATCCAAATTTTATTCTTTTCACAATAGGGCTCTCCAGTAGATTGTGTTTGTACGGAACTGAATCAGCCGACGCACTTCCGACGATGCCCGACCTAAAGCTGCCATAGGGCTCTCAGATTGTGTTTGTACGGAACTGAATCAGCCGACGCACTTCCGACGATGCCCGACCTAAAGCTGCCACCTTGACGTGGTGGGTGGTCTTCAGTGCTGCAATGATCTTGCGGGCTACACTGGCTGGAAATTCGTTCCACAAGGTGCAACCATGCCAGGAAGGCCAAAGGGGAGCAGCCAGACCAAGAGCAGCGAGACCCCGTACTACGAGTAATCGTGGTACGAGGCGGTCTGGGGGTAAAGTCGTACTGTCCTCTGCGACAGGAGTGTGAAGGCAGTAAG